TGTGTTTTGGAAAGTGTTTGACTTAGCGAGTATGATAGTGATAATGTATATGGTTTTTATGATATAATAAGGGTAAGATGGAGTACAAGAGAACTGAAGAAAAGAAAACTGTCACAGGCCTTTTCTCATGCAACTGAAGGATAAGCAAGACTCCCAAACTTGAATAGATGTTGACCAGAGGTCCCATTCCACTACACCAGTTGTCTTAAAGGTTCTTGAGTTCTTAAGCTAGGGCTTACTTGCGATAAAGAGTGTAAACATTTTTTTTTGCTTAAAATTACTATAAAAGGAAAATTTTTATCAAAACGGATGTGATCAGAAGAGAGTTTTTATCAATTATTTAAAGTTACAAATAATTGTATTCTTTGCAAATATATTGACAATAATATATAAATATATATCTTTTAAATATATAATCCATTTAATCTATATGATTTGAGAGTATTTACTTGAAAAGATTTTTTTGTGTGTTCATTCTGCTAATAAGTATAGATTTGTAACTTTATCGAAATATTTATTTTTAATTGTTAACAATCATTTATCTTTTTAAGTATAATGTTCATTTCAGGAATATAAATATCAAATTGATATACTGTATAATTTTATATATTTAAGTTATAATAAATATACTAAACAAGATAATATGATTGTGTTATTTTAATTCAAGATGAACATAAATAAATTTCATCACTATTGTCAAATAAATAAATATTTTAATATTTAAGAAGACAAAAGAATTTGACAAAAAATAGTTTTTTATCATAAAATTTTATTATCTATAATATTTGCTATCTATGTAATTCTTTTTAATTTGTTATATAAACAATAAACTTAAAGTTACATATATAGTAATGTGATTATACTGAATAATATTTAATTAGACTGACTATATATTAACATTAGATTTTTATGGGATGGTGATAATTACAAAATCTATTATATAATGTGATTATTATGAGCAAAAATAATTATTAAAAATTTAAAACAATAAATTTTAGTGATTATAATGCAATTGTGACAAAAAAGAATGTGATTATAGTGAGAGGCAACTGTATTAATAATTACCACCAAATAATAAATTTATTTGGTATTTTAATCATATTAAATTACCAGATAAATAATTTATTCAAAATTATTTCATTATTTGCATCATAAAATTGTATAAATTAAAATTGATTATATTTGTTATACAGTAAATAAATTTGATCATTTATTTTGTATATACGTATAATTAAAGTATTTACATATTAGACATATTCTCAAAGAAACAAATAATTTTTTATTATAACGATACGTAATACATCACTGTATCATTTACTTTCCCATAGCATTTACTTATTAAATCCGGTTGTCGTACTTTAAGTATTATGTATATTTCTATAGACTCTGGACTCAGTAAGTTCATCACTACCTAGAGTTAAATCAGAACCTTTATCATTATTGGTGGTAGAATCTTTCTAGCTTTTGAAATAATTTCTATAAATTTCATTATACCGTATTACTGTATCTTACCTTTCTGAAGATGAATTGATCGTCCCTATCTGCAGCCGTGACCAAATCGAAGCGTACCACCTACTGTACTACAATACTGCACAGTACAGTATTTAGGTCATACAGTACAATAAAAGTAGCGCATTTTCAAAGATTGCAAACCACTTTAAAATGTTTTTATCAAAAAATTTGCAATCAAAAAATGATTGGGTTGATGTACTCGAAAACTCGATAAATGAGCTGGCACTAAGTAAATTTGAATATAGCGATTTCGAGGATATTGAAACTATGGGAATTGATGGCTTTGGAAAAGTATATAAAGCTTTTTCAAAGAGTATCAAAAAAATAGTAACAATTAAAAAAGTTAAAATCTTTGATGA